TTCACCACTGTTCCATGTTTTCGCCATTTGTGGATAATGGCTCTCACTGTGGTTCGCTGGAGTCCCAAAGCTTTAGAAATGGCTTTGTAACCTTTTCCAGACTGATAGATCTCAATTACTTTGTTTCTCATTTGTTCCTGAATTTCTTTGGATCGCAGCATGATGTCTAGCTTTTGAGTATCTTTTGGTCTACCTCACTTTGTCAGGCAGGTCCTATTTAAGTGATTTCTTGATTGAGAACAGGTATGGCAGTAGTCAGGCCTGGGTGTGGCTAGAGAAATTGAACTCAGCATTCCAAAGATTTGATGAACCAGTTAATTTATGTTTTAACAGGGGGGGGGGGCAATCACTTTTTCACACAGGGCCATGTAGGTTTGGATTTTTTTCCCCCCCTTAATAATAAAAACCTTCATTTAAAAACTGCATTTTGTGTTATCCTTCTCTAATATTTAAATTTGTTTGATAATCTGAAACATTTAAGTGTGACAAAAATGCAAAAAAAATAAGAAATGAGGAAGGGGGCAAACACTTTTTCACACAACTGTATATACACCTATATACACACACACATACACATACACACATATAAAAAAAAGTCGGCCAGGGACTGGCTCTCAAACAACCGTTCCAAACAGATGACAGTGATTGTCACGGCTGTAAACACTGAGCAGCACTTCAGGGTGCTGTGGATAAAGTCCTGCACCTGGCTAACTAGTTAGAACTTTACCTGGCGTAGCCGATGATGAGGCTGCCAAACACTGTTCCGATTCCAGCTCCTGAGCCGGCCACACCCACTGTGGCAGCGCCAGCACCAATGAACTTGGCGGCAGTGTCGATGTCCCGGGAGACGGCGCTGGTCTGGAAGGACCGGCTCAGGACTGCAAACTGGCTGACTGGCAACAGGGCCTGGGAGAGGAGGGACCACAGAAACAGCTGCAGTAAATATGCTGCCTGACTTTTTTAATGTTGTTTATGTAGTCCATTTAGAAAAGCCCCGATCGCAGTTTTGCTGCTGATACAGATTGCCGAGGAGCCATATCGGTCATTGTGTGTGTTGTGTTACAGCAGCTGGTATACAGGGCTCAAGAGGAACATGTTTCACCACCATCAGGGAAAAGACAAGAATTTAACCTAATTTCAACCAGTCTTAACTTTTTATGTCGTCATCTAAAAGTAGTCCTTCGCATAAAAACGCACAATTTAAATGATTAGGAAATAAATTGTATTACTATTTTAATAACAATTATATGTTAAAGGTCGTTTAGAGCTAGTGTTAAGATTACATTTTAACACGTTATAATTGACCTCTGCCCAATACACATTTTTACCGAGTAGAGCTTGAACGCAGCATAATGCTACCTCTGTGAACGTTGGCTCCCGACAGTGCTGCCCACAGGCCTGTTGTGTTTCGGTAGCATCTTCTGGCCAGTGAACAAGGTGAGAACAGTCGTTTCTCTCAGGCGAGTGTTATACCACACACGTGTAGTACTTTTCTTACAGATATTTAGCCAGAATCTGTGATCAGCCCAGTTATCTCACATTGATTTGGGTGAAATGATACAATATCCAGCGACATGTTTTTCTCTATACTGAGGTAGCTATCCATATACGAGGCCAAAAACGGTACTATATCCAGATGAATATCAACATTGCAATACAAGAGATGGACTGCAACAGATCATCTTCAGCCATCCATACACACGCCCCAGTATTTGTCAGGCGTATTGAGGTCGTTCAAACATTGGGTGCAGGATGATTGAAGGTCAGAGGACTGACCTGCTGCTCCACTGTAGCTTCAGGTCTGTTGAAGAGGGAGACGGAGACGGGCCGGGCGAGGACTCTGGACCCCCCACGCAGCTACAGGCAGACAAAACCACATTAGCACCACTTAAACAGTAAGTCACTCTTAAACATCTTCTACTGCAAAGACCAAAGTACATGAGACCAATAGTAACCATCTGAACATTTCACTTTTATGTTAAACTAGTAAACTATGGAATTTTTGGAAAAAAGATCAGCTGCAATGTACGGTACATTATGGGCTTAAAGAAATTGCAATTCCGCTGACATTGTTTAACACTGCAGCCTTCTGTCAGTACATGACATCGACGTCAAAGACTAGGAGTCGAGAATAAACATCAAATTAAATAAATCTAGTAAAACACAACAGTGGAATTTAAGTGGAAACTTATGACACATTGGAGCTTTAGCACACGGGATTCTGCTCAAATGATTAACAGCAGACAGAAACAAAATACTTAAAATCTGACAAAATCACCACACTTGATCAATATGATTAATATAATTATAGCAAAATAGCCACTGTTGCAGCATAAAATGTTCAAGTTTCACACAGGTAGCTTTAGATATCAGTGTAGCGGGGCAATGCAGCTACTTATACACACATTCAGAGACAATAGCCATCTGACACCCTGTAGAGCTCTCCCCGTGTCCACCATGGCACCTTTAATCTGGTGTTAAAGAGCTCATAGCAAAGCAGTGAGCAGGACTGATTGCATTTCAGTATCCACTTAGCTGACCCATAGAACTGCACTACTCAACAAGCACTCTGGAGATGTCCTGCATGGAAATGTGGAACTTTGTCCTCCACATCACCTCCATGACTGAGATGACCTACATGCTGAAGGGTCAGCTAACATGGCAATGCCACCAACTGTGCGACCGTTATAAAGAGCACCGGCGGAACATGACTGCAAACTACTGTGTCCTTGAAAGCAAACCAAGGATGCCAAAAGCTCACACAGCCATGGAGCTGAATGTGCTGTAGGGACCTGTAGTCATGTAACCGACATGTAAACTATTTGGTTTCCACACGTTGGTTTATACTTCTCTTCACTGATGTAGCTTCACAGAATAAACATACGTAGCTGCATTACGGTTAAACGCTTCACAATTAACTGCTGATGCTCATATCAGTACTTTTACATCTTTTAAGCAAAGTAATGGCAGAAAAGTATTACAGCTGACGTACCACAGCAGGAGAGGTGACGAACTTGGCGCAGGCATACATGGCTGGGAGCTGGAGAGAAAAAGAAGAGTTTGAAGTCAGTGTTCTCACGCACAGGCGGACACTTGCAGTGCATCAAGCAGCAGATTCAGATCGACTGCTTTAAGGCCGTTTCAGGAACGCGCAGCCAAAAGCTGTCAGGGGTTGAGGGGATAGACAAGTTGTATATACAGCCTATGTGATGAAATTGATGGTCTGCAATTCTTGATAAGTGTCATCTTAATGAAAAGATGCAAGCAATAAATCCACCTACTTCCCAAATACACAGGGATTCATAGTTTGCCTAGCAAAGTCTCCAAGCACTGGGATTCACTAGTAGACTTCAGCTCGGTGCCACAGTTTGTTCTTCACTGACCTGCAGTTCTGACAGCTTGGGAAGTTACCGTAGGTCCACAGCTCAGGGTCAAAGCACACACTGGTACCAATGCATGCAAGTCTTCCATGTGAAATAAATCCGTAGCAAGGTTAAAAAACGAATCACTGGAGGAAATATCTTTGCAAAAGGTCAAGTCTAGCAACAACTGGATCGAGAAAAGCAGTCCTGGTCTGTTGGTCCTGGTCAGCTTTGCCAGAAAGGCTAATCCAAACGCATCGACTACTGCAAAGGATCAACTCTAGATAACCCGCTATATGTCCACACATACTGCAGAACTGATGGCTTTAACGCTCCCCAAATGCAAGACGCCATTAGCTGAAACCTGGAGGACATTTCTTCTGGGAAAGTTGTGCTGCAACATGTGGGCAAACAGCAGCATTTCACAAAAAAACGCCATAATGATTGTATTCTCGCAAGTCCAAGGTTAGCTCGCATGAATGAGTCACCTTTTCATACCAGTTTGGTTGACAGTCCTCGTAGAAGAAGGGGGGTTAGCACAGGAGCTAAGCTAAGCTGCTAAGCTAACCAGTCTGCAGACTTGAAGGTCAATAAAGAGCCACAGACGGTCACATTGGGCCTAGGAATCAGACATGGTGCACTCCCTCGTTACAATGAACCTTAACCGTGCTGTAGTGCAATGACAAGGGGCGACATGACACCACGGGTCCCCCACGGGGATGTCCTTGTAGCAGTGGATTGATTCAGAGCACGGTAGGCCCACAGTGTCAAACATTTTACGTTCAAGCGTCTAATGAGCGGCCGCGCTGAGGGTGTGTGACCCGCTGCTTGCACCGGCAGTAACTTGACAATAACCACAGCGGCTGGCCGAAACGAGCTGCTCGCGTTACTACTGCTCCATTACCTGTCGCAGAGACACACGGACTAACGGACTCGGAAGGCATTTCTAGAAACCAATTCATTGAATGGCCGACCTAGCTTGCTAGCTACCGAATGTTAGCAATGACAGCTAGCTTCGCAAGCATTTCCCGAGGACACACACGGTGAAGTTTAAAATGCGAGACGCAAATGCATTAACAACACGGACCAAAGTGAGTGTATATTCAGTGTAGGAGATATGAAAGGCAAACATTACCGGTTTGTTACGGCTTTCGGAGGGTCCGGATTAGCGGCTATCGCACACAGTGGCAGTCAGTGAATGTAGGACGAGACAAACTGTCACCTTGTACTTTATAAGATCAGCGTCTACGTCCTAAACGCCCATTGGTTAACGCCAACCCTCCTTAATTCATAATTGGCTTATCACCATGTGATATCCGTCACTCTAGCCTACTGGATAGAGCGTTATTTAACTACAATGTTTTTGATTGGTCAGGAGGTTTATAAGGGCGGGACTAAACCAACGTTCATTAATTCTATTGGACAGAGTTGCCGGGAATGACGAGTTTACAAAGGGGGAGCAGCCTTACAGCGGATGCAGCGAGGGAGCAACCGTAGAGCAACCTTTCAAAGCACATCCAGTGTCCTATGTACCAATTGGTTGGTCTGTGGGAAGTCCCGCCTTTTTAATAAGATCCATGAAGAGTGTCCTTAAAGTCAGAAAGGTTTTTGCATTGAACACTATCTACACATGTATGTAACACATTAAGAACACATTACTTTGTTGTCAAAAGTTGTATTTTGCCAACCTATACATCCACAATTAGCCATGTTTGACAACATGTAATAATTACTCATCAAAAAGCTAAAAATCAAAAGCTAAATTCCGGTAGACCTAAAGACAAAAAAATGCCCCATTTCATTAAGGATTTTAAACCAGAAAATATCTATCTTTCGCTTCTTATAATATAAAGAGACACATTTTAAAAAATAGAAAAGACTACATTTTTTAAATATCTGAAATACTGAAACAGTTGAAGTAATAGTTGAAATGCAACAAACATGGGAAGTCCTTGAGCATGCTGCCATAACTGGGCACACAAAATATGAATAATGCAGTAGGATGTGAGATTAGCCGTGGACAGAAACTGACACAGGTGCTCACTCAGTCACTCACTCACTTACGATGAGGGACATGATCTCCCTTCCGCAGATAGTAATAATGAAATAAGGGTTGTGGAAGGAAGGCTGAATGTACAGAATAAATGAGGATGCAATATTATGTCATGGCAGTGAGTGGTGGCTGATTACAGTAAACCCAGTGAGAGACGGACGCAGGAAGTAGATGGGTTCTGTTTTGTAGGTGACAGCGCTACTGAATGGTCAAATGAATGTAGCGGAGTAAAAGGTATATTATTTTACATTTATTTGCACCTTCTGTTAAGAGGTGAAACAAACATTTATTTTTACTAACATTTTATATGGTATATCTTCATGCTTTAACAACTTGGATAGATAAAGTTTGATTCTATCTTTTTCTTTAACTTTAACATTTTGACAGCCTTGGAGGAAGAGACACTATACTTCCTGTCTTAAGGAGAAAAGTTTAACTGGGACGCTTTAAAAAAAAAAAGTCTACACCTGCCAATATTAAAATAAAATCATCCAATTAAAATAACATTTTATTTTACATTTGTGTGCACATGATGTATGACATAATCTTAAAAATTACAAACATGAAAATAGAAATGTTCAAAATATCAGGAATATATTGTAAAAAAATAAATAGAAAATGGCCATTAAAGAAGCAATTTCCTTTCCATCAGAAATTAACTGACAGCAGAATATAATTCACATGCAAAAGTCCATTCTGCCCTTTTTGCCTGCAGACCCTGCATCTCCATGGCCAACACGGCTAGGAGCAGCCATACACTGAACATCACCACACAAACCTGAAAATGCAAGAAATCCAAAAGTATGCATTTTTGTCCGATAACATGAAGGAACAAACTAAACATTTAGTTTCGCCTTGACTATCTTCATTGAAGCCTTTGCACAACCAACAAATAAAAACTACAAATCTCCACCAATTATCTAGAAAAGTTAAGAACAGAAGAGAATGGAAACCTTTTGATGCCGCTGATGTCAACATGTCCTCATACGATGATTCGTATGATATACCATGAAAAGGAACTCCTTGTATTTCGTGTGTTTTCTTACGGAAGCCAGCAAAGCGTGTCAATTCCACTTGTAGCATGCACACAGTCTTTTCAAAATAAACTTCTGTCTTCACAGGAAACTCAGTTAGCTTTCGGCAACAAAACTACTTGGTTAGGTTTAGGAAAAGGTCGTCGCTCTGGTTTAAATAACCTCAGAAGTGCCGTTACTGAATTACGCAAGTAACGTGACAAAAACATCGACGCTGACTTGTCGTTTCACACCAAAGGAACGACCTGCGGTCTTCTGGCTGAAAGGTTCCTGTTTGTTGGACCCATCCACCGCCACTTCCGCCCGCCAGGTGTGGGATTTTACGGTGTTTATAAGTTACGGTGTTTATAAGTCCTCGTTCACGATTACATGGATAACATGCGAAAAAATTCACAGGATGTCTACATTATTTGGCATTATTGGCATTATACATTATCCAGCCCGCTGATGTATTTGTGCATGCTGCAGATATGGGTACTGATCTTTGTTTTTTTCATTACTATTTAGAGGGGTGTGTTTTCCATAAGCGTTAAGCATTCTTTTCTTATTTTTTAAAAATCTTTTTTTATCAATTTTGTTTTGTGTTCAAAGGTGAGACGTAGACCTCATTTATTTACACTCAGTAGAGAGCGCCAGAAGATAAGACGTCACATATAGGCTGCTTTTAAGTTTAGTTTCCTGTCAAAGTAACCTACAACATAGAATCACAGGATATGATTGCTGCATGTGCAGCCTCTGAAGTGCAAGAAGTAGAAATTGCGTTTCCAAAAACTGAAAGCATGTACAGTGAAGCCAGCTTACCTATTAAAAGTGTGCTCATGGTGTTCTCTTTGATTCTGACTTATTACACTGATGCTGGGTTGCACCTTCAAGGATAAATCTGATTAGCTCTTATCAGGGTTTAGCTAAATTAAGTTTAAAGTGAATAAATTCAGAGTTAAGTTTAAGGCTCTGTTACAAAATTCAAAACTCATGTCCATTTAATAAATCTAAGTTTAAAACATAATCAAATAGGGTTTAATCAATATGGAGACGCTTGCTTACCCAAATTAAAGTCCAAGTGGTCGTTTGTGCCAAATTTGAAGAGATTCTCTCCAGGCGTTCCTGAGATGTGGCGTTCCTGAGATTCGGCGTTCCAGAGATGTGGCGTTCCTGAGATTCGGCGTTCCAGAGATTCGGCATTCCTGAGAGGTGGCGTTCCAGAGATGTGGCGTTCCAGATATTCGGCTTCCCAGAGATGTGGCGTTCCTGAGATGTGGCGTTCCTGAGATTCGGCGTTCCAGAGATGTGGCATTCCTGAGATGTGGCGTTCCTGAGATGTGGCGTTCCTGAGATGTGGCGTTCCAGAGATGTGGCGTTCCAGAGATGTGGCGTTCCTGAGATGTGGCGTTCACAAGGTGCAGCCCTGAACACCAGCAGATCCCTCCTGCTCGTGGCCATCGTTCATTATGCAAAACTTGGCTCCTGTGTTCTAGTTATGTATTGGGGCTTAAACAAAAAAATGTGGAAAATACATCTGGAAATAATTACATTTTTATAACTGAGATGACACAAGGTTTTCAAAAAGAAAATCAAAAACAAGTGTTTTAATACATTTTATTCTCACTATTTTGTTAAAAGTCAGACCGGGAATTGAAAGTGATTACTTCTCCACTGAAAAATAGTCAAATCATTCTCTAACGAAAGGATACGGTGGTGAAGTCAGGAGCTCCACATATGCCCAGTTTGCAGAATGAATGCCTTTTGCTCCGTGCTGCCTTCTAACCGTCCCATGGCCGTCCACCAGATGCCCTCCTAACCACGGGCTGGAGCAGACAACGGCTCAATGCGCCTTTTTAAAATGATGTCTACACACAAGGATTCCGGACGGACCTTGAACATTTAATTGGGAGAAAGACTGAGTGAGGGACAATATCTTTGTTTTGTAAGCAACGCGATGGACAGAGATGATATTTTCTTTGTGAGATTGTTTTTCTGTGGAGGGAATTATATATCCATCAGAAAGTGAGAATGACAGATAACTACATAACAGGAAACAGTTTTGTTGACTATTCTGTTAATTATAAATAAATAAATAAGATATTGACTAAAGCACTTATTTACGGCCTGCCTGGTGATCTGTCTGCTATCTCATGTCTGACGCCGTGTTCTCAGATTGAAACAATTACATGTAAGCACAATCTATAATTAGATAGGACTACAATATAATACTAACATCGTAAACATGCATTTTTCTTTTACAGAATCAGGCCATAATTCAATGCTGTGTTTCTGAATGGCCTCAGGCCTACTTCCCCTTGTTTCAGCCTGCTCACCACAAACTCAAACCCAAGCCCACCAACCTAAATCACAACTTATTTGCATAATGACGAAATGTCTTCCTTCTTTTATTTATTTATTTGGGCAGTATGTACATAAAAAACCCCACACCAAACCAGCAGCATATCCTCGGTCCTTCATCAGTCTCACACATGCTGCAGAGTCAAACAGGGTTCCAGGAGATGCTGCTGGAAACAGTGGAGCCAGAACTAACCAACCAGCGCCGGGGATCTTGCAAATGTCATTAGTGTCACTAAAGAGGCAGATTGTTTCACAGGTTATCTGTCTCATGTACCACTGCCAGTTTGAGCAATGATGACAAAAAGTTCTTTTTTGTAAACTGCCGCTCTAATAGGCTCCATATAGGGATAGGAACCAAAACGTCCAGGTGTTGTTCCCAAATGATGGCTACTTTTAGCACTCGCCCACACAGATGTTGCACCAATCAAATTCCAGTACCGACGTCTTACATACACTAATGTACAGTATGTATACGCTGTCACTGCACAAAAATAAATCAAACACACAAACCCAAACAAACACACGCACGCACGCACGCACGCACGCACACACACACACCGAGACTGTCATCTTCATTAGTGCTGAGTGCCAATGTGGCCTCTGGATTTATTGGCAGGCAGAGGGGAAGCAGACATGTACACACACACACATACACACACACACACACACACCTCCTCAGCATTCCACTCCACAGTAGCCTAGTAATAATGACTAACCTCAGTGGGATCAATAGACTGGAGACAGATGAGCCTGGTTAGCACTCACACTCTTACACACACACACACACACACACACACACACACACACACACAC